GATTTTATGTCCGAAAACCCGTCCTCTAAGTGAGGCATTTGTAATCAATAAGTTATTGAGCCATAAATGACAGGTGTATGCTTGTGACTGAAGTTCACTGATCGAGAGCCAAAAGCAATGTGATGTGACATAACATTTTACTGGTCATTCAATAGTGCAATTAACAATTAATTTAATGACCGCCAGTGACTTTTAACTAGATAATAGTAGCAAATCACTTTTTCTTGTATGCATTTAAAAAGCACAGCAATCCTGAGCAAATAAGAATTTCAAATTGTTAGAAGTGTTTCCCCATCTTTCAGATATATTCAAATTAAATCCACAGTCATTTATGATGTATAAGGATAGTTTACATATTTTAGTGATTTCGCAGTACGTCGTAACAAGAAGTTGTTGATTATCTGAATTGATTTCATTAATATATCAGATACGCAGCATAGTAATTTGCTGTATTCTTTCTACTGAAGGAATGGATTCGATTTGTCTGACAACCTCAATCAAGGATTAAGAATCAACTCAACAGACGCATTTTAATTACTTTTAGATTATGGAATATACACATTTGACCATAGGGAATAATAAAAGGACAGTTGCAGAGAAGAAAACTTTCTTTCCGACGAAGTCATCAACTAGGCTGTACATTCAAGTATTTATGATAAATGGATGAGAAAATTCCAGAATAATTTCCGGTCAAGGGTCAAATCAACGGAATCACAATTAGGAATTAAAATGCCATAAAAAACAGGGGGGACAGATAGAACCCAAACAAATTGGCATCATAATTACTGATAAGATTGACATATTGTGCAGTTAGAGATTAGAAATGTAGAAATAACAAAAACAGACAGGATGTTTGGATAAAAATCTAGTAGGATCATAAATAATGTGACGAATAATTGTTTATGCAATTAGGGATTAAATATGGAGAAATAATAAAATGACAAAATAGACAGAAAGTTCGGATATGAAAATATGGTAGTGCAAATAGGGATTAAGAAAAACTTAAAAATAACATGAATAAACAGCACGTTTGGATAAGAAAGGCAATGGGAACACTATCCAGCCTGGCTAGTAAAAGGAGAACGAAAACGTGTATATAGTCCAGTGGCAGAACATCTGTTCAATTCGGGACATTCAGCGCCACTCGAGAAATCTCTCAAAATGATATACAACATTCGTAATAAAACCTATCAAAGGGAGTGAAATTAAGACATTTGGGCATAGCCGAGGCACTAGCCATCCCAAAGGTCAAACGCACACAGTGTATCCAAAAGAAATACGTCCAACCCTTGTTACCTGCCATGGCCATCATAAACAGCTAATTCTTTTAACAGTGACCATCCCATTACCTCTCGTATCCAAACCACCTGTTTATTCATGTTAGTTTTACGTTCTTCTTAATCCCTATTTGCACTACCTTATTTTCATATCCGAACTTTCTGTCTATTTTGTCATTTTACTATTTCTCCATATTTAATCCCTAATTGCATAAACAATTATTCGTCACATTATTTATGATCCTACTAGATTTTTATCCAAACATCCTGTCTGTTTTTGTTATTTCTACATTTCTAATCTCTAACTGCACAATATGTCAATCTTATCAGTAATTATGATGCCACTTTGTTTGAGTTTTATCCGTCCTACTTGTTTATTATGGCATTTTAATTCCTAATTTTAATTTTATTATTTTGACTTTTGACCGGGAATATTCTGGAACTTCCCCTCCCCCCCCCCCGCATTTATTATAAATACACGAATGTACAGCCTAGTTGGTGATTTCGTCGACAAGAAAATTTTCTTCTCTGCAACTGTCTTTTTATTGTTTTCAGGTCAAATACTAATCGCATTATAGTCATCTTATTTCGTTAATAACTAAACAGAAGATTTTTTCCCTTCATCTTCCCCAGTGGAACATAGGGCTTCAGGCTAGTGGCTTGAAGTTTCTGTAGCAGCGTTTATTTCTACAGAATGGGTTGCTAGTCTCATGCCCAACCTTTCCTCTTTACCAGCATTATTTCTGGCTTAGCGAGGTAAAGGAGTGCGTCCAGTTGCCCAGGATCGAACCCCGGACCATGTGCATGGATGGTGAGTGTCCTGACCGCTGTGCCACCGACGCACACTTAAAGTCACACTCCAAGTGGACAAGTCTAAATTATACTTAATTGTATTCACTTCTAGTTATTTAAGTTCCACATATTTCAATGTAGTATAACGAGCCATATGTAAGTGAATGCGTGTCGACAATACACTATCTAAATCAGGTGACGGTCAGGATCCAGCAATTCATAATCAGGTACTTTAGAGGGTCAGTAATAAATGTGTAACCTCTTCCATCTACTCATTTTCTTTTGCCTGAAAGTGAGTAAGTTAAACAAAGTAAAATGGAATCACTTTTATCATCAGATCACAATAGGAATTGATCGAATACTCATTGATAAGGTGATTTCATAAGAAGCTAGAGAACTATCGAGGACGTTGAATAGATTTTTCACAGTCTGAACTTCTTCATTACTGTTTGATTACGACCCCATATAAGAAATGAAAATCAGAACTAGGACGATTCATAAAAAGTGTTTTCCTCACCTACCCATCGTGCTAATTCACCTTTCCAGCTTCAGCGAGCTTATGAAATTGAGCAAGCATTATTCATTGACTGACTCTAAATTCCATTTGTTCAGTACTTTGACATTTCCAGTAAAACAAGTTCATTTCATAAATAAAACCTATTTTTTAATTTATCAGTCATTTACAAATCTGTTGAGCCGAGAGCGGTTTCGCTTCTTGAATTAACTTACTGTAATTAAAAATAACTAAAAATTTGGATAGAATCAGAAATACCCCAAAACGACATGATTAAGTGCATCACTGAACAAAATATTCTGTTGGAATATCAACAATATTTCAGTGAACTTAAGAGTAATGGATTTTGCATAAATTTATAAATTGATAAGACAAATGACCGTTTGTGAGTCATTCAGTGCACAAATTTTTTTAAGCTGAAGTTTGAAAAAATAAAAGTAGGACTAACACAGGCCTATATACTCATATAATTAATACAAGTGAGTGAAAGAGATTTGAAAAGATGACTACCATCGCAATGAAGAGTAGTAATTGTATCACCACTATTGGTGGTACTAGTGATTGGAGTGGAGTTTTAGGTAAGGAAAGAAAGCTAGTCGGTGGGGTTCATGTGCTAAGTCGATTGAAATGGCTAAGATACGTGCTGAGCATGTCAAACCACTGACTAACTGACATAAGATTAGGTTCGAAAGAAAGTTATAGGTGGTCAAATAAAACAAGATTTCGATCCGCAGAGTCTCTGATAATTGATTTGAGCCAGTCCCGTAGGGAGCTGTAAGCTTCCTGGTTGGGTTCCTTGGGATGGTAAAAACCGATGGTTGAAGACGTCTGCAGATATGGCTCTAAATTGTTCTCAGTAGCGTAGATGCATTCAGTCTTGTGATCTCCCATATATATATTTGACCCTCATACCTTTCCTTGTAGCTATTCTTCCTCCTCCACATTTATGCTCATTGTAATTTTTTTTCGGCTTTTTGTGTCTCTCTTTTTCCCTTATATTTGTGTGCTATATGGAGTGTGATGACGTTTTATTATTATTGTTCCCTTGGGTTCCTGGTGGAATATAGGGCTTCAACTACACGTCTCCACCTGCTTCTGTCTTCCTTCTGCAGTACTTTTCACCTCCATCCATGTCAGTCCATACTGTTTCTACTCCTCTTCACACATTCAACTCCATGTCACCCTCACACCGACGTCCCACTCGCCGCTTCCCTTTCGGGTTCCACTCGAGCAATGGCCTGACGCGCGAGCGATGTCACCCAGTGGCCTTTTCATCAGCGAGTGTCCAATCCATCTCCACTTTCTCCTGCATATTTGTTAGGCGGCGATTGGTTCTTGTTTTGTTTGTTCCCATAGTTTCTTGTTTTTGGTGATTCTTTCCAGTCCGGCCAGCTGATCTTCAGTGTAGAATAAGACGGTTGTTGATAAAGGTCTGCAACGGACTGTTGGTTGGAAACATTCTTTGTGACCGGCCAAGTTTCTGATCAGCATAGAAGAACTGACTGACTTGATGTTTTTGTATTGAAAATCCGACCGAATTTTGTTGCTGATGCTGAGTGACAAGGATTTCCAGATTGGTTTCAGGTTGATGGGTGTGTTTCTCGCCTTCTGGATTCTCGATTTGACATCCTCCTCCGTTCCTCCTGTAGTTGGGAGAATGCCCTTGAGATAAGTGAATGAAGTAACCTCTTTCAAATCCCGCAGCGCTGGATGTTGCTGCTGTTGTTGTTGGTTGGTTATTTTCATAACCTTCATCTTGTCTATGTTCACTTGGAGTCCTGTCTTCGCCGGCTGCTTATTCGATCAGTTTGTTGGTTTTCGCTTGTAAGTCTTCGATTTTGTGTGACATCAAACATAAATCATCCTCGAAATTGTGCAATTTTCGGGCTGAAAATCGCGTCAGCCAATGACGAAGTCAGTCCATACGTGGGATCTGGTAACTTGTTTTGTAAACAGGATCCAGATTCAGACAGGACTTCAGTTTCCTCTAAGTAGTAGTTATCCAGTTAGAGATCAAATCTATGCTGCTATATTCAACTAGATATGACTTACAATTTTAAAGAAATCCAATTTCTGATTTCTACAGGTATAAACTGTTACTAATTCATTGCTGTTGTAAACATTGATTGTACTAGTAAATAATCTAAGTGGGTCATTCAAATTACATTCTATTCTGATTTTCTACTGTCACTGACATCGATTCTGTTCAGCAATGAAAATTGAGTTAAAGTAACATTTGAATGCAGCAAAAAAGATCAATTTAACGGTATTTTCTTATTTCCAAAGCCTTCATTAACTTCATGAAAGGATGGAGTATAAAATTCACTACTATTCCATTATGCTTACATCATCACTGTAAAACTTAATTGAAACGATTACAATTTAATGTTTTTATTTTGTTCCCTTTTTCTTTAAAGATACTACAACCTTATGGAATATGCTATGCACCATGGACTCGATCATTTCTGATCGCAGATCATGTAAATCATCGAATACAAGCATGTCAGTTAAGGCATATCATCAATAGTGAAAATGATAATGATTGGACAAATGACCTAGTGAAGACTGTAAAACCATCTGGAGGTTGGAATGAAACGCTGACCGGTGGTGGTACGAAAACCTCATCGACTAGTTTATCTCCACTGAAACCGATCGCTGAAAAAGGATCACATTCAATATGGCATCCAATGGCTATGGCAACAGATGCACAAAGAAAACGTATAATTTTAACTGAGGCATTAGGAAGTGTGAAGGTAATCAAATCAGTGGAAGTAAATCAATAGTGGCAATGCTGTTATTACTGCCTTAGTATGGTTATATGGAGGAATAGGACTTTTTATATTCTTTTGTGTGATCCGGTACTTTTGTATTCTTTTTCACCTTGTGAAGAAAACAGTGACGTCTTTGTATGCATGAAATCAATAGACAGTTTGTTATGAATGATTTTTGTCAAAAATATATATTCATGCTTGAAAACACATTCGTTTACGTATCACTGTCAGAATCTATTTGGTATGTTTTTGTATACGTTCGAAGTGCATGTATGCGCGGTTGTAAAAACAACCCGCGTGTAGAACGATACATTGATAAAAAATGGCTTGTTTAACTGATAAGGAAGTGATTATTCGATAGTTTAGTGTTTTAATGGTTGCATGTTATGCTAACGTAGAAGTGGATTTTATTTAATATCTATTTATATTTTAGTGGAATAATGTCTAGAATGTGTGATAAGCTTGTGAATCGATTAAATATAGGAAAGAAATTCATCATTTCCACCTACTTTAAACCCGAAAAAAAAGATATAACCTGTAGATAGTTGGACATTAGATTTTAAAAAGCTCTACTCGTGTAAAGATAATGTAAGCAGAAATTAATTATAAGAACGTAAAGTTCTAGTATCCAATGAAAGCCGGAGGCGATTAAAAGTCTAAAAATATAAGATTTGGTGGTGCACAAAAACAGTAGACTGATAATAAAATAAAAAGACCATGAATTCGCCACGAAATCAAAATGATGATAAGCACACGCTTGACTGTTTACGTTAAATGATCCTAAAAGTCAAAGTTTAAGCTGATCTCTACTATTTTGGGAAATAAAACTTCCAAGTGTAATGAAAGTGACAAAAAGCGATTCATTCTCATTGGCTGAATGGTCAATGAGCATTTCTCGTCATCTGAAGGTCGTAGGTTTCATTCCTGGATGGGCCACAGGTGAGTACTGTCGAAGAGTTTCAAAGAAGGAGGGTGAAACAGCTGTCCAGTACTCCCTGGTTTTCAATAGTCCTCTCACTGATATCAATCTGTGATATAGAAACAAGTCAAATCTGTTTAAACTAACTTTTGAACACAAGACAGTGGTTGCAGAAACTCGAAGCTTGTTGCTTCAAGGAAGAAAATAATATTATGGTGGGAAATTTGGTAGCAAGTTAATTATTTAGGCTATGATAAGAAAAAAAGGACTTTTAACCTGAGATAATATCATTATATAATAATAGTATGATTTCTGTTGTTCCAATGTACACCTTCAGTTTAAAGTTTTGGATATTTGAATTGATTCTCGTAGTTTTCCGTTTCTCAGACAAATAAAATCACTAAAATGAATGGTAAACTTGTCATATTACTTATAACATTCTGTGATCCCATATAGACATTTACTTAAAAACCCAAATGGGTATTTGCCTAACTGCTAAATCAATGCAAATATCAACATGTTATCTGCAATTCAAAGAAAATTCCAAAATTTCAGTCAGTTTATAATATGTTAGTTTTCCTAAGTAAGCTAACTGGACAAACATCCTCTAGATTTTAAGTGATTTTACTTTTTGATAAAGTTGAAATAATTTTGTCTGCAACAAGTTGGCAGAAGAACGACCAAAGATAAAACTTCCTTCAACTGAACGTAGAGAAAACATAAGTGACGAAGATAACTGGCCAACAGCAGTAGCAACAACAACAGACAACAATTAGACAGCATAAATAGGAGAAATCTGAAGGAAACAACCTTCTTTACCTACCTACCTACCTAGCTGCCTACCTAGCTACCTAATAATAATAATTTGCTTTATTCTAAAAACAGTACTAATGATACAGCAAGGAATTTTCAGCATTCAGTACAATATTGCATCTAATTTACTCAAAAACGACAAAAAATAAAAATAAACTTTACATAATAATAATAAAACGTTGTTATAGCAGCTACATAGCAAAATACTGTATGCCATACGGAGAAAAATATGCATAAAGTACAAAATTATAGTAATAATAGTGATAACAACTAAAATAAAATAGCAGAGTAACAATTAAACGATAGAAAGTGTGACACCATATAATACAGAAAGATGAAAAGATAAAAGGGTCGATTCACTGTGCTAATTACATAGTAACTTATGTGTTTCACGTCTAACAGTGTCTTCGTCACATAAATTACGGGCTAAATAGGGTATTGTAGAATTTCTATACTTAGTGGTACGAGCATATAACTTTTTATATCGACTTCTCCTCCTACCTGATGAGATGCAAGGGGATAGGTGTGAATAAAGGGGGTGCAGAGGGTCTGACAGTACAGCCTTTGCCCATTTCGTACAGGAATTTATTTGCCTCTCGACTATAGTATTGGCGAGCTCATGCAGTGGCAGACCACAAGCTCTACTCACAGCATTTAATACTCTTCGTAATATGATATAATCTTTTTTGAGAAGCCCAGGAAAGATTAATGGAGAGCAATAGAGTACAATAGGTAAAATACAGGAGTTTAAAAATTGCAAAACTAAAGGTTGGTTGATACCTGATTGTCTTAACTTTTTAATGTAGAAGGTAAGACGAAACATTTTCTTAGAGATAGATAAGATATGGGATGACCATGAAAGGTCAGAGGAAAGAACTAATCCAAGGTATTTAATGCTTGACTTGGTTTCAATTTCCGTGCCATCTATGCTACAGGGATCATGCGAACTAACTAGTTCAAGTAAGTCACGTCGATGCTTGAAAGTAAAGTCAAGTGCCTGACATTTGGAAGGATTTAATATAAGACCATTTGACTTGGACCACTTGTTGATGTCCAACAGAAAGCTATTAAGTTTGGAGCTGTCAGACTCGGAAGTGATAGGCAGTGATGCAGTCAGATCATCTGCATATTTGACAAAGTCAGTTTCGTTTGAAGAAGAAAGAAAAAAGAAAAGGAGAGAGGACAGCACCTTGTGGAACACCGGATTTTGTAAGCGAGGTAGAAGAAGATTTGCCGTTATATACAGTATACTGCATTCTATCAGAAAAATAGGAATGCAACCAACTCTTTGCCCAGGATCCTGTTTGTGTCAACGATAGCTTATTTAACAAAAGGCCCCTAGGTACAGAGTCAAAAGCAGATGTGTAGTCTAAGAAAGCACTACGAACATATTTAGCACCTTTGTCCAAACAAGAAACAACATTGTGATATAAGACCACCGCATCATCCAAGGTACTTCTACCATGTTTGTAAGCAAATTGTTTAGAATCATTAAAAGGTTTCAATGAAGGTTCAAGACGAAGTAAAAGTAATTTTTCCATCAATTTTAAAAAGGGGGAAGTAATTGCAATAGGCCGAAATTTAATATCAGAACCAGAAGATGGTTTTGGTATAGGGATAATTTTAATGTTTTTCCATGCAAAAGGTAGAACGTTACCGGAAAAGGAAGTATTAAAATGTTAGTAAGAGGGTAACATAAAATATCAGCACAATTCCTGAGGACAATGGCAGGTACGCCATCAGGACCAAGGCTTTGGTAAGGCTTAAGAGACCGGAGACATTTAAGCACATCAAGGGTATTAAAATCACTAAAATTATTGTCTATATGATTTGTATCATTAGGAATTATTAAGAGTGTCGACGTTAAGAGATGGGACAAAAGTACACCGCTTACCACTAGTAATTTCTTTGAAAAGTTTCCACAAACTACAGGGGTTTTGCATGACAAAAATCTTTGATCATATAGAACATTTAGTCTTTGCATTTCGAGTTTTATCAGAGTATTTAACTTTTTTACACTTACCTACCTACCTACCTTGGGAAGGCCTGTTTCAACTACAGGAAAACAGAACTGATGAGGATATCAAAGCGAGGTTCATCGGGAAAGAAAGGCAAGCTTTCATTACGCTCAAGTCTGTGTGGAGATCAACAGCACTCCTCAGAATGAAAGATAACATCTGGATTTTCAACTCCAACGTGAAGTCTGTGCTACTTGCTCTGCGGACCAGAGACTTGGCGCCGCACCACGTCACGAAGGTCACTTCGAACAAACTACATATCTTCACCAACAGCTGCCTTTGCTCAGTACTTCGCTTAAGATCAGATGGCTGGCGAGAAAAGATCGGCAACAGGGAGGGATCTCTGGTAATGAGTGAACCAACCCAAAAGGAACCAAGTGTGCAAGAAATATGCAGGAAGAAATGAAGTTAGGAGGATTGGCCATACTCTGAGAAAACAAATCATCGAGTAGCATCACACGTCAGGCCATCGCTCGAGTGGAACCGGAATAAGAAGTGCCGAGTTGGTCGTCAGTAAGAGGGTGACATGGAGGAGATGATGTGAAGAGCAGATGAAAGTATGTAGGCAAACGTTTAGCCAGGTGAAAATGTTGGCATAGGACTGAATGCAATGGCGACGTTTGGCTGAAGCTTTATGTTCTTCTAGGAATTAAAGTGAACAATAATAATAAAAGTTTTGTCTGCGGTAATAGACGAAGACTCCGCGTTTTTACCTGCAAGAAGGATAAGGTCAGCAGCCTCAGCTCACCTTCTTTTACTGTAGAATGTAAGTAGGAAAGTAGAAGACAAATGAAATCCTTGAAACCACTAAATTTTGTTTGAAACAACTGCTACTTCGATGCAAATCAAATGGTTGTGTACTTTTACAGTGTGTTCATTTTATGTATATTAATAAGATACGAATAATAATTGCCTCAGGCTAAGCTGAATGGATCTAATATTGAGACTATACATCAGCTGCTTAAAATACAGAAAACAACTTTAATTAAAGCACAAGAAATATTTATGTACAGTTCTTGCTAAGCCCTCAGGTGGGACCCGGAAAGGAAACGACAAGAGGGGCTTCCGATGGTGAGAAGGAGATGAGAGACTATGGGACAATCGTACGGCCAGCTAAATAGGAATTTAGAGAACAGGATGAAAGGGAGATTTGCTGTTGAAGCCATCTGTTATACTCAGAAACCAGCGGAATAATAACAGTAAATTGAAGTTTGAGTGATTATATATAATAATAATAATAATAATAACAGCTTTATTCCAAACAGTATTTGTGGTACAGGTATGGAATTTTCAGCGTGCATTACAGTATATTGCATCTAATTACCTCATAAATTATATAAGATTTTTAAAAATCAAAGATAAATAAAATAAAAATAAAATAAATTAGTTATAAATAAATCAAATAA